ATTTCATCAATAGTAAAATAAGGACCATTATCAATAAGGTGAAGAACTTTTTCAATATTATCGGATGTTGTCTCGGTTACAGGTCTACCAGGTCGTGGTTCATCTTCAACTTCTTCCCGACCTTCACGACATAATTTTGACCATCTTACAACCGTATTGTAAGATGGAGCTTGGTCTCTCAAAGCTGTACATAATTCGTCAAAGATGGATTTCGGCTGCATGTTAAGTGCAGTACGCAGTTTAATATAGGCACGAATCTGCTCTTTATTCATCTAAAGATGGGTGTACAGTTTCTATTGAATTTTTCTCATATAATAATAGCCACTGGTAAATGATGACTCATTGAAGAAACATAGAGTACTGTTTCCTCTACAAATACATATAGGGAAAAGTTTGATTTGAGCGTTCCATAGGGTCCATATAATACCAACACCACTACTTTTGGTATGCCCTGAGTAGTATATGTAATTTTAACCATTCTAAATTAATTCTTTTATTCTATTTCTTAATAACCAAAGAAAAAGTGAGATTCCAATCTCAACTAAATTCCACGTTTAACTGCCACATCTACATCAATCTCATGTAGACCAACTTCAGATAGTTGATATTAAATTGAAACAGTTCCATCTTGGTTATTTTCAATCACTGGTATATGAATACGATTATTTGGAGTTCGAATGAGTGCTAAAAAGGCATATTCAAATGATTTCTATTTCTTTTTGTGAGATATTAATGCCTCCGAAATTCATAATTACTTTCATTGAATATACAGGTGTGTGTGTGTGTGAACGTGTTTTAAACTCTATAAAATATGCACCACAATTACTCTCTTTTGGATTGTTCACCTCATCTAACCAATAAATCAGTAAAATGTGAATCTACCTTGGTTGAGATAAGCTACATACAATTCGTAAATACACGAGCGCTATCAACAGCATGAATTACGTTGGCACTGCTGCCAGTGTATGTAGAAATTTTATGTAGCTTATCTCGACCATCTACCTTAGCTCATTCATTTTTTACTCTTTCCGTTCTATTTAGTATTCATCGTTTTTGTTCCCTGCATTGTTTATATCCAGAATGACGCACATCGAAAGCATTCGTGTAAATTCTCTCCATCGATTGCTTATCAATACAAAGATTAGGTGATGTGTTATAGGTATTAAAAATGAAAAGAAGGCTATGAAAGCTCATCATCTATTTTATTTTATAACAATTTATATTTATTCAATGAATTTTATCATAAAGAATAACGATATTTATTTTGCTTTTGATTTCAACGATTCTAATGAAATATTAGCTTTAAATATTTTGTTTCCCATTGATACATACGCTATTAATAGTCTTATCAAGAATTTAATTATTCAACCTAACAGCACTTGATGGAAGAGATCTCGTAAGCAAAATTCCAAAGTTTACTAACGGGGCGCAATTTGTCACTGTGAATGCTGTTATCTATGGAATATCATAATCATTAATAGTCCCAATTTTTATTGTCCTCTCTCCAAATTGAGCTGATAATTTACAAAATATTGCTTATAGCAAGCATCTTTCTCTTGCCGTTCATTAAATGACTAGAAACTATCATATAGAAGTCGTTTATGATGCTGATACCATAAATTGACACTAATGAAAAAGGTCTATTACATTAACGTATTCTCCTTTATTTCATCCGACTTCGCATTATTTGATTGCTTAAAATTATGTTCCAAAAAAGGGGAAAATCATACGCAAACACGCACATATATATTTACATACCACTAACGTTACTAAAATTACCAGTACCAACAGGTAAACGACAATCTACAGATCAGTATGGACGTGGTATATGTCGTGATGTAATCTTTTCAGTTATTGTGTGCATCCATAATATTTATCTCCATCGCCAG